CACACTGGTCTAGGGGTGAGGTTGGGATCCTGCTTAAGGCTGATGGTGCTGGGGTTGGGCGTGGGGCTGGCCTACACTGGCCTGTGGGCACCAGGACCAAGTGCGGTGCTGGAACCCCACTCTGGGCTGGGGGTGTTGAGTCGGGGAGCCTACACTGGGCCGAGGGTGCTGAGGCTGGGCGTGGGGGCTGGCCCACATTGGACTGTTGGCACTGGGATTGGGTGTCAAGCTGAAATCCTACGCAGGGCTCTCTCCACACCCAGTGGGAGCTGCTGTATGTCTGCCTCCCCTCACAGTGGCATTGTGGGGACAGTTGTGTCCTGAGTCCTGCTCATGCAGAGGCCAGCTCTGAGAGCCCCCATCAGGCACCCATAGCCCCTGTGACCTCCCCCCTCAGAACACCTCTACAGATGAAGGGGCAGCTGCTGGCACTTCTCAGACACAAACAGGCACCTGCAACCCTGTCTGGACAGTGTGTGTGTGGTCCTAGGTGTGGGGACTGCCCACCCCAGAGCCCCAGGAGCGAGCCATCAACCACACGTGGAGACCCCCCACCTCAGGAGAGGACCCTTCTGAAGCCCCCACACTGGCAGAGTGACGTAAACACCATCCCCCATCCCAAGGATCCTGGTGGGACAGCAGAGAAGCCCTGGGCTGCTGACCCTGTGGTCAGTGGTTCCAATCCACCATCTCCTCAGGAGAAGAGGCAGCCAGCATCCATGATGATGACAGTTAAGAACTCCCTGTTAGCCAGTCTCACACGGGGTCACCTTGACCAGGGTCACTGCAGACTATGGGAAATTGGAGCCTTGGGATCTGGAAGCTTCTTTCTCGGGCATCAGAACGGGAGTGTGGCCAGTGGAGGGATAGGGAGAGTGTGTGGGAGAATCTCTGACTACAGCTCCTGTTTGGAGGCCTATTGAGGTATCGCCCGAGATGAGGGTGATGGTTAGATGTGTGGAGGTCCCCAACTAGGAGGAAGGAAGGGGGACAACCTCTGTGAAAGGCAAGGATCGGCTGGAACTCAGCCAGAACGAGGGTTGTAATCGTTTGGGGTACCTTGGGTGAGCCTGTCCCTGGGACCATCAGCCCACTTAGCTCCTGACCCTCAAAGATCCACTTCCTGGGAAGTTGTGGGTCCCTGTCCATGCAGGACCACCTTCCCCACAGACGTCTGGGACAGCATGTGAACTCAAGGTACCCACTCACTCCATTCCAGGACACCTGGGGCACCACCATACCCACCCCAGGCCAGGACACGTGGGGCACCACTGAACCCACTCCAGGCCAGGATGCCTGGCACACCATCTTACCCTCCATGGTACCCACCTAGTGTCAGGAAGGCCGAGGCACTACCAAATCTGCCCCAAGCCAGGGCGCCTAGGGCATCACTGAACCCACCCGTGCCAGACAGCCAGGGCACTACCACACTTGCTCCATGCCAGAATGCCTGGCCCGCCATTGTACCCACCCCGTGCCAGGACACCTGGGGCACCACAGTACTCACCTAGTGTCAGGAATGCTGGGGCACTACCACACCTGCTCCATGCCAGAATGCCTGGCACACCACCATACCCACCTGGTGCCAGGATGCCTGAGGCATCACCAAACCCACCCCATGCCAGGCACCCAAGACATCACTGAACCTATCCTGTGCCAGGACAGGCAGGGCACCTCGGTATCCATGCCACGCCAGCACGCCTGGGGCACTAAAGTACTCACCCCACACCAGGATGCCTGGGGCACCACAGTACCTGCCCGGTTCCAGGATGCCTGGGGCACCACAGTACCTGCCCAGTTCCAGGATGCCTGGGGCACCACTGTACCCGCCCCGTGTCAGGATGTACCCACTCTGCCCAGCAGAGATCCGGTGTGGCCGCTGAGTCCTCCCAGACTACTCACCCTCCCAGGAGCCAGAGCGGCGTCTCCTGGAGACGGGGAGACAGGCTGGCTGTGGTCCCCACCTCCTTTATAGCCCCCAGGAAGCAGAGCCCCCGCCCCCAAGCCCGTGTCTTCACATCCCCTTCTGTCTGTGACCATGACAGGCAGCCCTCCTCCTGGGCGGCATGGGGAGGGGAACGTCTTTGTCTCCTCTTAATACTCATCAGTGAGGTGATCTGTTCCTTCCTGGTGATACAATTTCATTTAAACCGAGTGGTTTTTAAGCAAATCAACTCCCCCTGATCACACTTGCTTTGGGCAAACGACAAAGTCTAGTGTCTGTTAAGACCAGGAGCCGCCCTCGACGTAAATACTGAGCAGGAACCTTGCTCTGCCTTCGTCAAGACGTTATTTTTAAGGGGAAAAAAGTGGAAGAGGTGCCCACGCCTACTGCTCTCTGCTTTTTTTACCTCTATCAGCCCTGGTAGACCTCTGTCAGCCCGTGAGATTTCCAGTTTTGCATTTGCTGTGTGCAAACTCCTTCTCTGATGGGAGAGTTAGCCTGACATTATTCTATGACTATTTCTGGGGCCTTGGCAGCCTTCTTAATTATTGTAAAAAAAAAAAAAGTGAAAAAAAGAGAGAGTTAGTATCCTTATTAAACATGTTTATTATTACTTTAACCAAACCAGCGTCACCACTGCCGAGTGTGACACGTGGTGACCCTTCAGTGAATTTCTGAGCCATAAATCTTCACAGAAGGAGGCTGGCCATCTTTCTCCCTGAAACAGTGGATGGATCCGAACCTCTGACCTTTTGGTTAGTGTGTGCTTATGTGTCTCTTGCAGGACAATCATCACAGAGTTGGGGTTAGAGAGACTGTGGTGGGGTCCCCACTGAGACACTACAGGAGGAGCTCATGGTCAAGAGACAGGCCCAGGCCAAGGAACCTTAGGGACAGGCAAGAAACCTCAAGGTCATGGCTCCAGAGCCACCTGCCCTCTCTGAGTCCAAGGCTGAGCTACTTTGGATCTTTGGTAGAAAGTTCTAGGCGGTTCCTCCGCTCTTGCTCTTCTTTGTGGCCCAGCTGTGTTGGGCAGGTTTCCACTCCTTCTCGCAGACCCCACCCTCCCGAAAAGCCTCCCATGAAAAGCTCTTCTTCAGGTGTTTAGAGTAGCGAAGAGAAGATGCCCCCCCAAGCTTGACATCACTGTAGTTGTCTAAGCTCTCAGCCTCAACATAGTGACCACGTGTAGGTGCTCAGTGAAGGCCAGCAGACGCGACAGACAGCTTTGTTGGGTTTGGCTGTCGGGCTATGTCGTTGCTCTGTGTTGGGCTGAAGAATGGTTCTCCCAAATTCATTCCCACCAGGAACCTTAATGTGTGACCTTATTTGGATTAAGGTCTTCACTGATGTCATTGGTTAAGACGAGGGCCCCGTGGATGTGGGTGGACTCTCAATCCAACCGGTGGTGTCCGAAGATGGCCACACGGCGAGTAGTCATGTGAAGCAGAGGCAGAGGGTCAGTGACGTGTCTACTCATGAAGGACACACACCAAACGCTGCTGGGAACGTCCAGAAGGGAGGGGGGAGGCGAAGGACAGATTCTCTCTCCCTCAGAGCCTCAGAAGACGTCTTGGCTCAGTGCCTCCTGCCTCCAGAGCCACAAGAGAGTATCAGTGGCTTCACACCACTCAGTGTAGGGAGGGGACTTTGGTGTGGCAGCCACGGGGACGGAATACGATGCTCCACAAACATTTATCGATAAACTGAGGACGGTTCCTTGTGGGTCCTCATTCCTGGGAGAAAGCCCAATCTCTGTGAGTTTGAACTGTGTGTTTCTTAAAGTCTTAAAAAGACAATTTCACAAAATGACAGGGAAGAGGGAGCCATGGGGATCTGGAGACCACCTGAACTCTCGATGTTGCTGTTAGGTGCCGTCGAATGGAGTACAACTCCTAGTGACCCTGTGAACACGGTCCTATCTGTGCCATCTTTGACACGCGTGAGCCCACTGCTGCAGTCACTGCCTGTGTCAACTCACAGGAATGCAAAGCTGGCTTCTGGCTCCAGATGGCTCCCAGGGTGATCGCTGCGTCCCTGTCCCCTCCAGGACTCACATCCTCCTGTGATGAGCGGGGGGGGGGGCAGGTGGCCTAAGTGCGCCTGGTGAGGTACGTTCCAGGTGTTCTGAGGGTGATCTGCGGAGCCCACAGGCAGCTCTGGGGAGTATGTGGATGGCAGGATGGAACACGGGGCATCGGCTGACTGAGGTGGAGTGGAGGACAGTGGGGGCCATCACAGGTCTGATGGCAGTGGCCTGGCTCCCCACTGCGGTGGCACCACTGCCTGGTCGTCTGTCCCAGATCCCACGCTGGCCTCCCTGCCCCTCTAGTGCTCTCACCTGCCCCCAACAGCCTGCTGACCTCTGTGCTGCAACTCAGGGCTCCTTGCCCCGTGGGAACCATCTGCCCACTTGGGCAGCGGATCTTCTCTCCTGGTCCACGAGCTGTGATGGGCTCACAAGGGGGTGCACATGCCAGGAGTGAGGCATCCACCCTTTTGCTTCTTAGCTGGTCAAGTTCAGTCCTTGGTCTTGTCCCAAAGTCCCCTCTCTGATGACACCCCCTGAAAAATACCACTCCATGGTGTGGTGGACAGTGACAGACTTGAAGAGCTACCCCCTCACCCCGGTGGACAGAGTCAAGGACGCCTGGACAGAGGTTGCCGCACTGTGGTGGATGGAATCAGAGATAACTGTACAGAGACACCTCATCTTACCCCACCCCCACCCCAGTGGACACAGTCAAGGGCACATAGATGGCTGATGCCTGGACTCAAGGGTCCTCAGTGTGTTTCCACCGTGAAAGCTGGAGAGGGAGGATTAATGGTCACTAGTGGTCACACTGAGCCCATGGTCTGTGTCCTGTAAACCCTTTGACACTGTCCTCAAGGCAAGAACGGCTCCATCATCTTTTAGGAGGGGTCCACTTTTGGGGAGTTTCGGGTTTTATTGGTTTTTTGTTTGTTTGTTTGTTTCTGAGGAAAAAGTGCAGAGCAAAGGGAGGAAGTCTGTGGGCGGCTTCGTGGCTTCTTCTTGTTCCCAGTGAGCCTCTCCTTAGGGCTGGTGGGTCATCACGGGTTTCTGTGGAAGGAAAACACACACACACACACACACACACACACACACACATGAGTGAGCACAGACTGGTGTGCACAGAGATGCACATATAGCACATGAATACATGTGAGCATGCAGCCAGAGACACAGGAGTGTGCACACAGATATGTATGTGTGAGTACACACATACACACGAGTATGTAATGCACACACGTGGGTGTGCACACAGATAGACACAGGTGAGTGTGCCACACTGTTATGCACCCATGAGTGTGCACACCTGTACGTGCTCATAGGTGACACACATATGAGTGTGCATGTCCGTATATGCTCATAGATAACACACATGTGTGTGCGCACACCTGTACATGATAATAGGTGACACACGTGTGAGTGTGCACACCTTACATGTTCATAGGTGACACACATATGAGTGTGCACGTCTGTATATGCTCATAGATAACACAGATGTGCATGTGCACACCTGTATGTGCTCATAGGTGACACACATGTGCGTGTGCACACATGACAAGCGTCTGAGCAGGGACTTGAACATATTCAAATGAGAGTGCACAGACACACTCACACAAATGTGCACTGCTACACGTGCGTGTGCGTTGATACACATCAGTGCCCACTGATGCACTGTGTGTGCATGCACAGGGGTACGTGTACGTGGCCATGCACAGATAACCCCCATGAGTGTGCGCACATATACAAACACATCCGTGCACACGGACACATGCGAGTGTGCACAGAGACATGCACGTGCACATGGACATGGATACTTTCACACGAGCTTGACCAGACACACGAGTGAGTACAGATACACATGTATGAGGGTGTCCAGATGGACAATGGCACCCACACGACACTGTTTGCTCAGATACGCCTTCCCAGTTAGCATTTCCTGGGATCAGGGAAGAGCTGAGAGCACACATCCCTCCTAAGAAGCTAAGGGTCTTTGGCTCTGGTATCTGCATAAAAGACTCAGCTGACAACTTTTCCAAGTACCTGGTGGGGAGAATGAGTCCTGGAGAGAGTGTCTCCACGGTCTCAAGGAATGTCGCCTTTCCCAAAGCTGCAACTCACTCCAGGGACAGTAAAGTCCCTTAGGAACCAACACCTGGGACTGTTTTGGTATTTCTTGGTTACCATATGTGCTGCTTTCTTTAGGAAATGTCCTCAGTTTTCTTTGGAACTTCTGCACATGATGCACTCTTTGATTATCTGACTTTTATACTGTGAGCTTATCCAACTTCCTTCACTCTGAACACTGTCATAAATACATGGATCTTACAGGTCACAGATTTGTAAAGGCTCTTCAAGAGAGGAGACATTACCGCAAAGACGTGGTCAGCTTTCCCCTTTCTCCCATTGGGGTTCCTCTGCGTCAGGGAACCTCGGTACATGGAGTTCCGGGAGAAGGATTCCTCGTCACTTCCTGGGGGACACAGAAGTTGTGAGACATTTACCCCAGACAGGTGCCCCACCCCCTGACAAAAAGCACTGTGAGAAATGGACGTATTCTCAATTTTTGCAGCATTAAAATCTTTTTCCAAAGCACTTACATTTTGGAACTTTGCAGATAACACTCTTGCCCCAGCGTATGGGGTCCATCCCCTGCTGCTGACTCCTGTGTGCAGAGTGGCCTCTGACTCCTAGTGACCGGTGTAACAGAATGACACCCTCCCTCCTCAGTGGGGCCCCGCCCTCACAATCACTGATTGCTCGAGCCCATTGGTGCATCCACTTGCTAATCAATCTCACGTCAAAGTGCAAGAAAGTCTGCCATCCTCACACCCGGAGAATTTGGATGTGTCTCCCCCGTCAGATTTGCTGGTTCTGTGTGTCCACTGGTTTTAAGGGCCTCCAAGTCACCCTAAGCACGGCTGGGAAATGCTGCCCGGTCCTGGGTCACTCTCACGGACACAGGGCAGTGTGGTTCCATCTCACTGAGGGTCTTCTTCAATGACCCTCTACCTTACCAAACCCGACGCTCTCCAGGGACCTTCTGGTAACACACCCAAACATTTCCTGTTAATTCTGAGATGTGATAACGGATCGGGGGCCTCGGAACGTGGACCCTCGGCACTGAGGCCCTTCCCTGTGGCTGCACCGCTGGGGGCAGCAGGCGTCAGGTCCTAGTCAACTGTGCTGTGTGGTCACCCGTGTGAGCACACTCCAGTCGGGTGGGTGCCAGCCCGCTTCTTCGTGTGTCTCATGCTGGGACCTTCCCTGGCACACGGTCTGGAGTACATGGTGTGGGGCCTGTGAGCTGACTGGACACTGCTCTCCCCAGCTTGTCCCTGTGGCGTCTCATCGGGGTGCAGTCCACAGAGCCTTGCGCAGCGAGCTTGATGATGGTACCTCTCTGACGGCTCACAGCCGTGGGTGACTCGGTGGGAGAAGAACAGGTCTCTCCTGTGTGATTTACGGCTCCCAGAAACCTGAGCGGTCAGCTATGAGTCAATGGCAACGGATTTGTTTTGTATTTTTCCTCTTAGCCAGAACTTGGAAGTATTCCTACCACAGTCATTGACAGATGTTAAAAACCTGCCTTTGGGCAGGGTATCTTAGTTCTCCAGGGCAGCTATAGCCACAAAGGAATGGCTTATAAAAACCAAAATCTATTCCATCACAATTTCGGCGGCTCCCTCCTCTCCTTGCCGTCGAGCTGATGCTGATTAACAGCTGGGCGCTCTGGTGGCCTAGCGGCAAGAAGTTGCACTGCAATCCCAAAGGTATGCTGTTCGTGGCCACCAGCTGTCCCACGGAAGAAGGCCGGGCAAACTCATCCCGTGGGATTAACTGCTTCTGAAAATATGCTGGAGGGAAAGCTATAGGCTCGTTCTGACTATGATACACAACAAAAATAACAGTAGTTGATCTTCCAGCACGTTTTCAGAGGCCCTGTCACAGAAGGCCCTGTCATCTTTCTCATAGTCTGTGGATTTGAACCTCCTCCTTTTGGTTTGGTAGCACAACTCCTTACCCATTAGGCCATCAGAGCTAGATTTAGTTAGGGGGCTCGAAGTACAAGTTCAAGGCACTGGCTATAGGGGGACTTATCAACTATGGGGGAAGGTATTTGTCGCAACACTGTGACCTACACACCTCGTGACCTGGCCTCAGTCATCTCCTGAGTCCGAGAGGTTCTCAGTGCAGGAATTCCACTTCTAGCTCTTCTTTCTTTGTGGCACTGAAACTCTCAAATCTCTACTTACCTTATAATCTCTTTGATATCTCAAAGAAACAGACTTGATACATACCTAATCCTGGAGATTGCATCCAAGCTCATTAACATAACGGCCTCTAATATTGCCTCATTAACATCATAAAGATTCACAACCCACAGGATAATTACAGCATATCACAAAGTGAATGATAATCATCTAATACTGAGAATCAGAGCCAAGACAACTTGACACATATTTTGAGGGAACATGACTAAATGCTTAACAGCAAGTCTTGTTTGGCCTTCTCACATGTTCCCAGAGGGATAACCCTCTATGGAGGGACTCACTTGAAAAAACTCTCAAACAGTGAAGACAAAATTGGTCTTTCAGACCTCGAAGCTGCATAGGACTGACCTTTGTCACATAGGACCTGCACTTGGGGGGTCCACTGGGTCAGCCCAGGGTGTTTCTGTTTGTTAAATGCATGAGGTAGGTGTTCACTCCCCTCAGCTCCTTTCTCAGAACCCATGGGGAGTGGGGACATGCTGGCGTTTACCTGGACTTCTAGAAGTGTAGCTCACCTTCCTCTTCAGAACGTATGGCGTAGGAGCAACCTGGAAAAAAGTCCAGTTATGGCTTCACCAAACTCTTATTATTTTTAGGAACACAGGGCTAACTTTGAATGTCTCATTCTTCCAGGTCAACTATCTTCTGTTCTATGACTAGAAAACCTTCTTTAAAAAACTTAAATACATCATCATTGAGTACACAGACCTCCACTAGAATTCGGAAAGGACTTGTTTCTTCTGGGGTGTAAGGCAATGATGTCCCTAGTCATACCCAAACTCAGGAGATCTCAATGGCACGCCAGGCTGCTTGTAGACCTGCCATCTTCCTGCTGGGCTGGTTGGAGCATCTGCCCATATGATCCCAAAGCCTGTCACCTTTCTGTACACCAGAGTCTGTGCCTCAGGTACATAGCCCCATGTTACATCTGTGCATGGAGCGTTAAAGTGATTGGAGTCTAGGGTCGCCTTTAGTATGACTATTGGGGGCAGATAGCCAATGATCCAACCTCTTTTCTCTGTATAACATGATACTGGGGTAATGTGTATGACTCAACACATCAGCATTGGATGGAGCCAGGACACTCTTCCATGGGAATCTGATCAACATCAGATCTTGTTCAAGTCCTTCCTTCTCCGCTCCACTTTTGTCAGATTATCCTAGAACTTTCTCAGCAAACATCTCTATAAGAGCCTGTGTCAGGGCTTCCAGAGCTGAGAGCTGACAGGATGTCTAGTCTACAGTCTGGTCCTCTCAATGCAACTGCATCAGGGGCTGGCTGTCCACAGGCCTGTCATCTTCTGCAGAGCTGTCCCCCTTTTTTTTGTTCTTTGTCTAGTCTTAAATGTAGACAAAACAGCACCTACCTCAAACTCATCTGAAAGGTCTGGATTTGGATCCTCGGGGTTCTGGCCAAGTTTTCCAACAAGTCGAGGAAGGAATACCTGAGGACGATGAAGAAGCGTTGAATTGGCCAGTTTTTAAAAAACTTGGTTGTGGATGCGGGGATAGCAGACTAACCCTTTCCTACACTCCACTCAGTGTTCTGCAACCAGGGTCTCCATATTTAACAATGAAAAGGTAGAGTACTCAATTAAATGTTTAAAAAAATGTATTATTAATTTCAGTAAAAATTTACAGAGACTTTGGTTTTTCATTCATTGTTGCACTTTCCCCCCTCAATTAAATTTGAATTCTAGATAAAACAAGAGTATTTTTTAAGTATAAGTGTACTAGAAAATGATTCCTTATTTAAGATTTAACTGTAGTTTATCCAAGGACTCTATATAGTACTCCCCTAAAAGTATCTTTTATTCTTCTGCCCAATTTCCTCACTTGTTTAATTTTATCAGGGGAGTCCTGACTGGAATCAGGAGATCAACATTTCTCTTCTTCAGGTGGGCACTTGGGCATGCTCCTCCCATAAATCCAAGTTACCCATTGTTGCACGGATTCCAACTCACAGCAACCCTGTGGGTTAGGACAGAGTAGAACTGCCCCATAAGGATTCTCAGGCAGAAATCTTCATGGATGAAGCCTGTTGTGTCTTTCTGATGAATTCCAACAGGCAACTTTCAGGTCAGTGATTGAGTGCTTTAATAATGGCACCACCAAGGCTCCTTATTCTAGTTGAAGCACCTTAAGATGGCATCATATTAAGTCAGTCAACATGATATTTCTTCCTTCTGTTTTCTTCTTTGGGACTTTGCACACGTGCGTGCCCGTGTGTGTGTACCTACGCTGGTAGGGGCAGAGAATTTCCCCATAGAAAGCTTCTTCTGCTAGAAACAGTAAGAAAGAACACGCTGACGAGGACCACATTACAGGGTGATTTACCAGCTAGCTGTTAGGAAACAAAGCTTGCTGTTCAAGGAGAAGGAAGGTAGTTGAGCTCCTGGCATCCGCCCACTGTGGGGCCCCTGGGGAGATCTCTGTGGGCACCCACCCCTCCAGGGACCACTAAACCCCTTCACTCACAGGGATGTTGGACTTCCTTCGGGGCTTTCCAGAAGGTTTCACTGTGAGCCCTGCAGCCTGCAAAGCAGCAATCCTGGACTCGATGTGTGAAACCTGGGAGGAGAGCAGACAAACAGACAGACAGAGACATGGACAGGCAGATGACCCTCAGCTCCACAGAGAGCAGCTGTCACTCGTGGAGCCTATTTTATGTGTGTTGCCCCCTACAATGGGTGACTTATGCTGAGGCACTTCCTACCACTAAAACATGAGCTCATGCAGGTTGTGCTCAAGATGTTTGCAGCTGCAGATGCTGTGCCTTGAAAACGGTGTCTACCTTCTAGGGAACTAGCAATGAATATAGGATAAAAAGTCCTTGGCCTGGTTTACTCCTCTAAACATGAATGACTGGACAGCTTGGTCTCTCACAGAAGGGGAACATTTTTGATGAGAACACGAGGGAGAGAACGGGTAGGGGCGCTGTTAGACTTGAGGTCTGGAGCTGTGTCTCTCTTCTCTGTCACCCCCTAGTCCTCTCCTTGTCCCTGGGGTCCAGACCCTGGCTGGGTCCTCTGTTCTTTGCACATTAGTTACACACATTCTACACCCAGACTCTATCATCTACATTGTGGTCCCACAGGATGACCCCCAGGGTTAAGATCCTGTTCTGAGCCCCAAGATGTCCCAAATTCTAGATGCTTCTGCATGGAACAGAAGTGGTGAGTGCTGGGCCTCTTTCTCCATGGTGGAGAAAGATGACTGTCTCTAAAGAGAATACAGACTTGGCTGTCCCTAGCCAAGTCAAACTCAAATAAAGGGCATGGAGGGGAGAGGGTCCAGGGAGGTAGGCAGAGTTCCTGCAGAGATTTCCAGACTAATTTTCCAAATTCATGAATGTGCACATGGAGCCTATGGAGCAGGGAGGTTCTGGGGGCTTGGGGCTGTCAGACATGCCCTCATTGCATATCTTAGTGTTGCTGTGTGCTCCCCCTTCCCATGGGGCTACCTCGCTCTCTGTCTGCTGGACTTCAGAGGCCGTCATGGCCACTCTGTCTTCTAGTACTGATAGCTCTTCATATGTGGTCCTGGGGCACTGGACATGGTTCTGAAGATCTGCCTCCCACCTATCTGTCTGTTTTGCAGCGGGGCACATCTGTGAATGGAAAGAACCGTGTCGCATTGTCAGCTCTGGGGCTCCAGGATTCTCACCAAGATCTTTCTCCAATGCTCCCTTCTTCCTCAGGAGCCAGAGCTCCTGACCAGGGAGCTCCTCCAGGCGCTGGTCATCCTGTGTGGCTCTCACCACAAGCCCTCAGAGCCAGCAGATGGCAGGCCTGGGCTTGGTGCTGTCATGGACCAAACTGTATCCTCCAAAGATGCATTAGAGCCCGCTCTTATTTTTTATAGGCTATTCTGCTATGTTAATGAGTCCAGGTAGGGGAGTCCCAAAGCCAACCACATCACCACTGAGTGATGATAACAAAGGATCAGACACACAGACACACATGCGCCATGGGGGACAGACACTATGTGGAGTCAAGGATAGCCAGGGGATCATGAGGACGTAGGCAAGGAGGGAGCCCACATGGCCAATGCCTGATTAGGGAGGTCTTGCAGCCCAGTGGTAAGAAGCTGTACTGTAATCTCCAAGGCTTGCAAGTTCAAATCCACCATCTGCTCTGTGGGAGAAGGATGGACAATCTCTACCTGTGAAATTTACTGGCTCTGAAAACCCGCTGGAGGGTCAGCTATGGGTCAGTCCAACTTGAAGATACATAACAACAGCATCACCTGATTAGGACACTTACCATCCCGACCTAGCAGACTGTAAATGTCTGTTCTTTAAAGAGGCCGCCTGTGGTGTTTGTGCCACCCTTGTGGTATCTGAAGAAGTCCCTTCCATCCCACCCCCTCCTGCTTTTACAGCCCCAATAGCTGAATTAATGTGCATCTTGCCAGGATTCCCAGGCGTCTCCATCACAGTCACCCTAAGTTCTTGTAAACATGTAGGTTCTATTTCGGTCTAGGTGGACACGCAAATCCTCAGCAGGTATCTAATCACGTGGGCAGTTCAAAGCTGTTGGCACAGCAGCACGACGGGACCGGGAAGCTGCTGGTACAGAAGAAGCTGGGTGCTTCTCACAGGGGGCCCGGCCCCTACCCCTGCAGGGGTCTTACGCAAACACCCTCACTGTGGCCTCACCTCTGGGGCCTCTCCTGGGAGGCCCGCCCTGGAGCTGCTCCTGTCTGACTCAGCTGCTGCACCCTGGCCCTGCTCTTCCTCAGAGGAGGCACCGTGGTCACTGATGTTGCTGGTCAGCTCCTCCAGCTTCCTCCTCAGTGTCTCCTCCTCCAAGTCTGCATCACCGTGCACACTGGCAATGACCTCCTGCAATGAACCAATGTCGGGTGAGCGCACGTCTGCTCTGATGGCTCTTGGGAGCCACTCTCTGGAGACTGGACTAGGACCCAGGGCCGTACTTTGAGCGCACCTGAAATCCCACTCATTTCCTAAGGTACTTTCTTCAGTGTCCCACTGTTCCCCGCCCCAGTCACACAGAGCTTGGCTCTCCCAAAACTAAGAGCTGCCAATTTGGGCAGACACTGAGTGTCCTTGGTGACCGTAGATGGCCTCCATCTGACTGAATACTGAGTCTTCACACCTGGCAGACCCCCGAAATCAGGGCGTCTGTGTGGTGGACACAGTGAGCACACTCAGCTGCTAACTGAGGTTGGAGACCCAAGCCCCCCCGAAGTGCCTCAGAAGGAAGAGCTGCTGGTCTACCTGCAACCAGGAGCACTGAGAGCCCCTGAGCACTCCAGCCCCCCTCCCATCCTGAGTTCTGACAGCAGGTTTTAGGAGTGGACAGGTCCCTGGGACTGTCACCCTGATCATGTTGCTATCTTTCCAGAAGGGGTGACTGCAGTGCTGAGTGGAAAGACACCAGCCGGTGACCCAGCAGCCGGTGACCCTCAGCCACAGGCTGTCCCTCCAGCTGGGTACTGTCCACCATCATTGAATTTCTCATCTGAAGAAAATGTATTAAGTCGGGCAGAAGGTGCATTGCTGGGCCTCTGGGAATGAGCACCAGGGCACTAATCAGATTGGGATCGATGCAGGAGTGGGGCGTTCACCCGAGATACTCTGCATCAGGACCAGCTGTCCGAGGATGGCAGCAGCACAGCTATTACTCCATGCTTGGGTGAGAAATGGCAGGGACCCCCCAGGAAACAGGAGCCCGGCTGCCCACAAGGCAGGACCCTGGGGGGTGCGGTCTGAGATGGTTGATGTGGGGAGCCTTTGTAGGAAGCAGATGGAGCCCTGGGGACAACTTGAGAGCTATGGTGGGCTGCTCATTGAAAGGTCAGTAGTTCAAATCCACCAGCCGAATCACAGGAGAAAGACGGGCAATCGTTCCCGTAAGGTTTACAGCCTGGACCGCAGATGGAAGGTCAGTAGGAGGGAAACTGGTTTGACAGCAATGATTTTGGTTTAAAGCAGGAGCATTTCTATTTTATAATCCAATAAATGCACAAATGCACATTATCCACATGGTTACACAGGCACACACATACACACTCCCCACAGTTACACAGGCACCAGGTCCATACTGTCCACAGGCCCACAGGCACAGTACACAGATACGCAGGTCCACACTGCCCACAGGTCCACAGGCACCAGGTCCACACTGTCCACAGGTACACAGGCACCAGGTCCACACTGCCCCCAGGTACACAGGCACCAGGTCCACACTGTCCACAGGTCCACAGGCACAGTACACAGATACGCAGGTCCACACTGCCCACAGGTCCACAGGCACCAGGTCCACAGGCACCAGGTTCACACTGCCCACAGGTACACAGGCACCAGGTCCACACTGTCCACAGGTCCACAGGCACCAGGTCCACACTGCCCACAGGTACACAGGCACCAGATCCACACTGCCCACAGTTACACAGGCACCAGGTCTACATTCCCCACAGGTGCACAATGCCCACAGTTACACAGGCACACAAGAGTGTATACATGTCAGCCACACAGACACGCAGGTACACACTTCCCACAGTTATACAGCACACACATGTGTACACACGCCAGATACACAGACACAAGTACACACTCCCTCCACCCACACAGTCACACAAACACACACATGCACACAGGTACACACTCTCCACAGTTACACAGGCACACACGAACACATACATGCCAGCTACACAGACATGCAGGTACACACTGCCCACAATTACACAGACACACATGTGCACACATGTCAGCTACATAGGACACACGTACACAATCCCCACAGTTACACAGGCATGCAGGTACACATGTGTGCACACACGTCAGCTATCCAGGCACTCATTCACACATGCCTGTACACACCCACACACACACATCCACAGGCACACACCCATCATGCAGCTACACAGGCACACGTGCACACCCAGGTACACAAAGGCACACACGCACAAAGGGGTTCTCCCTCACATACACAACTGCACACGCAGACAGCACACAGGTGTGCGTGCACCCACGAGCATACAGGCATGTCCTCTCATGCGTACACATGCACAAACACATGCATGTAGACTCCCACGTACCCGCACACACACTCACCCAGGCTTAGACTAAGGACTTCTGCTCTTCTCCCTCTCAGGTGACCTGTGTGCTCCATGAGGGAAGCAGTACAGTGGGACACACAGACCTGACTCTGCGGAGGGCCCCCCAGGGCTGCAGGGCTGAGCGCAGGCCCTGGGGCACCCCTGGAGTTCTTGCCCCTCTCAGAAAATACTGACCTCCCCAGCAACACACCGGCCACCCGGACACTCCTGCCTCTGAGCTCAGTGCACAGATGCCCAGCTGGGAACACGGCTGTGGGAGCAGCCTGGGTGGGTACGTGAGCTGGGCTGGCCGGGCAGTAGAAGTGTGTCCAGAGGGTCAAGCTGCTCTCCCAGAGTGCCTGGTCAGCCCTGGCCTTTAGACATGGTAGTGTTCCTCGGGCTGGGAGAGGCAGGGCTGTGCCTCCTGGTGGCTCAGCCGGCGCTCCATGGCCCACAGTGTGCGTCCAGCTCAAAGGTCTGCAGTGCGGGAGACAGATGGTGGCAGGAAAGGCTGGTGGAGTTGGGTACAGCGTCTCCACCCAGGAAGAGCTCTGGCCACCACACAGTCACCTGGGAAGTGGAGTCACGCTGACACTCGTGGCACCGAGCGTCCCCGACTCTGAGCTGGAGCTGTGGCAGGGAAGGGGAGGGGAGAGTCAGCAGCTCAAGGACACCACACCCGAGCTTGATGGCGTCGTCACAGGCAGAATGCCGCTGTTGGTGCCAGTGCAGACCAGCCCAGGCCAAGCCCCAAGGCCCACTCAGAGTGACCCCGGAGGACACACAGCTTTCTTTCAGATCAGCCTCTGACCTTTTGACCACCAGCAAGCACTGTAGCCACTGTTCGACCATGGTTCCCTGTGGATGAGCTGAACCCTGTTGCCTTGAGTTGATCTGGACTTAAAACAACCCTAGAAGACACAGTCCACTGGAGGACAATGGGAAATGTCCTCCCGTGTGATTTACTGCCTCTGAAAACCTGCTGGAGGGTCAGATACAGTGGGTCCTGACTTGACAGCATGTAACAGAGGACAGAACAGAATTGCCCAATAGGCCCCAAGGCTGTACAACTTTACATAACAGACTAAGGGTTTTTATCCCCCCGTGGAGTGGCTGGTAGGTTTGAACGGCTGGACTTTGGGTTAACAGAGCTCTAACCACCGCCCCAGCTGGGCTCCTACAGAGGAGCCCAGGAAGAAGTTCATGAACTCAGCCACGTGGATCGAAGTGAAAGCCGTCAGCTCAGCTGAGCCTCGGGCCTTGGTGGCAGGTGGGGGGCCAGGTGACCGCCACCCTGAGTCACCAGACACTTGAGTCAGCCGCTGTCTATTAGCTCCAGACTGAGACGCAGAAATCGATTCTTCCCTCGCTTCCTTGCCAGCCGGCGGTGCTGGGCGGCCGTGATCTCATTTAAGGCTCACTTCGTTTTAAGAGCCGGAAGCGGCCCATTCAGACTGAAGACGGCATTGTGTCTCAGGTAATGACTTTGATCCCCACGGCGCCGAGGGCCTCTTCAGGTGGGCAGACGTGGATGCAGCCCACTAGACAGCCTCTTTGTGACTCCCACACAGTGGCTGCCGGGCGGAGGATGGCAGGGATTGAATTGTGTTCCCTCCTCGCCTGCGTGTCACCTCGGCGAGGCCCTCACCCAGGACAGCAGTCCTGGGAGATGCTGTGAGCTCAGTTCCAGAGCCCACAGCGGAGCAAACTCTGCAGCAAAGCACTGCCGGGGTTCCCAGTGCCTGTCCAGGTTCGGTTTACACTGTTGTTGTGCACCGTCAAGTTGGAAGCGATCCAAAGCTGGCCTCCCAGTGCGTTTTCAGAAGCAGTAAATTGTATAAGAGGAGACTGCTAATCTTTTCTCCATGGAACAATGAGTAGATTCGAACCCTGCACCTTTGTGTTGGCAGCGCGGTTCCTTGCCACTAAGCCACCCAGCTCTGTTTACACTGTACCGCGTTGTCTATTAAAGGGGCGCTGCTCCTATGATCCACTACCTGGTATGCTGTTGATTGAAAGGTCATTGGTTTCAAGCCACCGGCTGCTCTGTGGGAGAAGATGGGCCAGTCTCCTCTAGTAAAGTGTTATGGGCTCGGAGGCCAGGTGGAGGGGTCGCTGTGAGTCAGCCGGCCGGATGGAGGGGGTTCGGTCATCTGTTACATGTGGACTCACATGGATGAAAGGATTTATGTGACCTACTGTGAGACTTTCCAGAAGGTGACAGAGACACAGGAAAGGATTTATGTGACCTACTGTGAGAATCTCCAGAAGGTGACAGAGACACAGGCAGCATGGTTTTTGTTGTTAGGTGCTGTCGAGTTGAGTACAACCCGTAGCGGCCCTACAAACAACTGATCTGAACCGCATCCTCCCCAGGGCCATCCTAGAGCCCATTGCAGTAGTCACTGTGTGAGTCCCTCTGGTCGAGGGTCTTCCTTTCCTTCGCCAGCCCCATACTTTTTCAAGCACTTTGTCCCTCTCCAAAGAATTGCCCCTGCTAGCGACAAGCCCAAAGTCTTCAAGGCAAGAAGCCCTCTGCCTGCACCCTCTCTGAGACAGATCTGTTTGTTCTCTGGGCCGTCCATGGGATGTTCAGTGCTCTTCTCCAACACCACAGATCAAAGGCATCAGCTTTTTCTCTGTCATGCTTATTCACTGTCCAGTTCTCAAATGCAGAGCAAGTGATCAGAAAGTCCATGGCCCGAATCCTCAAACTGACATCATTATTCCTAAAAAATCTGGAGCGGTCTCTAACTGCAGACTTGCCCAAGGCAATTCCTCTCCTGATTTCCTGACTCCTGGTACCAAGGGTGGTGTTAATCTAAGTAAGATGAAGTTGTTGACAGTTTTAATCTTCTCTCCAACTATCACGATGTTGGTCCATCACTTATTAATGGCAAACAGCCTTTAATAATTGGAACATGGAATATACATAGCTTGAATGTTGGAAAACTAGAAATTGTGAAAAATGAAATGGAACACATGAGCATCGATGTACTAGGTGTTCGTGAGATGAGGTGGACCAGCTTTGGCCACTTTGAACCAGATAATCATCTGGTACACTATGCTGGGAGTAAAAACTGGAAGAATGGTGCTGCATTCAAAGTCAAAAAGTCAATTTCAAGTTCTGTCCTGAAATACAATGTTGTCAACGACAAGATATTATCCATGTACGTATAAGGAAGATCCATTAATATGACTGTTATTCAAATATAACCGCCTACATCTAGAACCAAAGATGAAGAAACTGAAAATTTTTAACAAATATTGTAGTTTGAAATTGACGAAACATGCAATCAAGATGCGTTAATAATAACTGGTGCCTGGAATGCATAAGTTGGAAACAGTGAAGAAGGAATAGTAGTTGGAAAACGTGGGCTTGGTGATAGAAACGAAGCTGGAAATAGAACGATCAAATTTTTTTCATTTCAATAATTTGTTCATTACAAATATCTTTTTAAAAAGACACAAATGGCGCCTTTACACATGGACTCCATCTGATGGCTGCGTAGGAGTCAGATTGGCTACATCTGTACAAGAAATCACTGGAGAAGCTCAATATCAGCGGTCAAAAGAGGCTGGGTCCAGCTATCAGTTACTCACAAGTGAATTCAAATTGAGGCAGAAGAAAATGAAAACAAGTCCATGAGAAGCAAAAATATGATCTTGAATCTTTCCATCTGAATTTCTCCCCGCCCCCCCACCCCTCCCCGGGCCCTTGTGTACTGTCGAAGGATTCAACTGGTCCAGGAGGAGACTGCCCCTCCTTCTCGGATTCGAACCATGCACTTTCGGGATTGCAGTTCCATCTGAATTTCAAAATAATTTTAAGAATTTTTTTTTTTTTTAAGAATAGTTTTGAAGCCTCGAACACCAGTGATTGAAGACCAGGTAAGTTGTGCGTTACATCAAAGATACCATGAATGGAAAGAGCCCAGAAGTACCCACGGCTGGAAAAGTGACCCCAACAGACATGTCTGACTCGGGGCTGCCACAAACCACCAGTGTGGGAAAAAAATGTCACTAACTCAATAAGTCCAAGCTCGACAAGCCAAGGTGCATTTGGATCACGTGGCTGCCGGGCCCTCTCCACAAAGTGGCTGTTTGGGTCACGTGGCTGCAGGGCTTTCTTCACTAAGTGGCTGTTTGGTGCATTGAGCCGACTCAGTCCCAGCGAGCCTGTGGACAGCAGATCGGAACCCCGTCCTACCTGTCCCTCTGCATGGTCTCGGGCTCGCTCAAGTCCACCATTGCGGTCACTGCGTCAATGCCTCTCACGGAGGGTCTTCCTCTCGTTTGCTGACTGTCTGCCTTCCCCAACATCCTTTTCCAAGGACTGGCATTTCCTGACAGTGTGCTCAAAGCAGCCTTGTGCAACGAGTAAGGGTGCACGAAGCAACGGCGCATTAGAAATGTGGGCCAGCGAAGGACACGGAACATACAACGGACCATCAGCGGGTGAGGCCAATCCGTCTCAGAGAAAGTGCAGCCAGGACTCTCCTTGAGGGTGAGGGTGGCAAGACTATCTCAGCCGCTTTGGGGCATGGTGTCAGGAGGGACCAGTCCCCGGGGGACGTCATGCTTAGGAAGGCAGGTCGGTGAGAGAGAGGAGGACCTTCCAGAGATGGACGGATCGACGTGGTGACTGCGACAATGGGCTCAACCAGCTGCCCTCTGAGGGTGGCACTTAATTCTGCTGTACATGGGGTGCTAAGCTGGAACTGACCACGTGCCACCTAACAGATATTCAAAGTTTTAATTTCTTTCAAACAACCTAGTATTGGGGTGAAAAGCTGAACCCTCAAGCCAGACTGGGTTCTCCTTTGCCACTGTTACCTGACACTCAGACGGAGCCCGGCTTCTCTGGGGGGCGTGGCGGGAGGCTGAGGTCCGGGCCCGCGTGGAGTCCTCATCGGAGATGCCCACATCAGCCAGGTCCTCCAGGGGAAGCTGGTCTCCCCTGATGGCACCTTGGGAGTAAGTAAGAGCAGGTTTGAATTCCTCACACTTGAGAGATGAGCACCAACAGCGCACTGTCCAGTGAGGAGAAAGGAGAGCTCTGCTTGATGCAAATGATCCCGGTAAAATGAGGAAGGAGCAGGCTGGCCTCTCAGGACCCGGGGGACTCAGGAACAGACCTCCTACCCGGCCTCCTGAGCTCTGGCCCTGGCAAATGCTGCCTTTTGACCGCCTGTGGGTGGTGGCTCTGAGAGGAAACACTTCCCTGAGGGCATCGTTCACCCTGTTGGCCTATTTGGCTGGAAGTTGAGGCAGAGGAGTGACTAAAATATCTGCAGGACCATCACTCAAGGCCATGGTCTCGAGATTGTTTATAGCCAGCTATCTTTTTAAGAAGCAAATAATAAGACACTATCATGCCACGTCCCGGCGAGGGAAGCAGGGGCAGTCCTGGGCCCCAGGCCATCCCCTCGTGATGGGGACTTCTGGAAGCCCATCAGAGTGGACTGTGGTCCCTCATTTTTGGTGCTAGACTGTCCATTCTCAGACTCTGGTGGACACACACACTCACGGCTTGGCATGCTGATTCCTGGCTCTGGGGGAGACTGGGGTCCAGGAAGCACAGTGGGAGAAGTGCCGGCACCACGTCTTGTCAGAGGCCATTCATTCATTATTACCAGGGGCCAAGAGTCCACCCTGCACCCCAACTCCTCTGGTTAGCAGCGAGCACATTAACTGTCTGTACCAACCAGAGCCTCCCCTCACTATTGGGGAGCCTGGAAGCCCCCAGGAGCTGAATCTGCATGAGCAGTCACAAGGCCATGGGCACTGCCACATAACAAAAGAGCAGAGCAGGAAAGTGAGGGGCTTTGCTGGCAGCCCCCGTCCTCACAACACTCCCCGCTGCAGCCCCACATCCCGCTGCTGTCCGACCAGTGACCCTGTAGGACAGGAAACACTACCACGCAGGGTTCCAGCCTGTGGCCCTGGGGAGGCAGAGGCTTCACCTCCCTGCAATAGGCCCGCTGGGCTGGAACCACAGACCTTTAGGTCACCAGCCTGTCAGCAGAGCTCCTTGCTTCCGCCACACAGAGGTAACACAGAAGCTTGTCTGTGGCAGCCGGACCTTCCCTGAGGCCACATTGGTGCCTGCACTAAACTCCTGAACCCGGCCCTGCACACCCACGGGGCCAGGAGTCTGCTGGGGTGGGGAAGCTGCTGTTTTGTTAGACGGCAATTCTGCCTGGTGACCAGATCACACTGGGTGGAGGGAGGTCAGCACTTAGGGACCTTCTGAGGGAGGGCTCCAGGCAGGTGAGGGGTCCATAAGACCTGCACCGGGGGAGGGGCAGGCACGAGGGAAGGGGCAAGAACCATGGTGGGCGACTGATGCAGGGGAGTGACCGGTACTAGTAGGGGGCAAACTTGGAGGAGGGGGCGAGGATAGAGAGGGCAGACATAGGGTGGTCATGTACCAGGGGACGGTCATTGTTCAGAGGCAGGGCAAGAAATGAGGAGGGGTCATATGTGGTGGAGGGGCATAAGCCAGGGGACGGGGTATGCGCCCGGGAGTGGGTGTCCAGACAGAGCCTGCTCAGCCTGTCCTGCCCTGTCTGGCGTGAGTGGTCTGTGGATAGCCTGCTCATGTCAGGGACCAGATGTGTCTGCCCAGCTGTGTCAACGTCCCTGAGCATGGGCCTTGGAGACCCTAAGTGTCCACAGTGCTTCCCAGGATGGCACCACTGGACAGGTACTCAAAGGAAAGGCTCTTTTCAGTCAGTCTGTATGCAGTTAATACGCTCACCGTAAAGTGTGAAGTTCAAGCCCACGCAGAAGCACCTAGGAAGAAAGGCCTGGCCACCCACTTCCCAAAGGCCACAGCTATCGAAACCCTGAGGCCCCATTTCTCCAGCAGGCACGCTGTTACCGAGTCAGCCTCAGCCCCAGGGCAGGTGGTTTTTGTGTCTGAAAACCAAGCGGTGAAAGGGCAGTGTCCCCGTGGTCCCTCCCGTGCCCAGCGATCTTGGGGATCCTGCTAGGTACCCACCATGTGCATCAGTGCCCCCCAGGGCTGGGCTGCAGGGGTCTCCAGGTAGACCGAGCTCAGCAAGCACATGCTGTTCACTGGGTGAGGGGCTGTCCCCCTGTCCTCCTGGTTTGGGCTGGGACTTGAGGGACCTGACATCAGCCTCCTCTCCTGCCATGGTGTCCTGTGAGGTGGTGTCCTCTGCATCGGGGCCATCTGCGAGGGACTGAGCACACAACGCTATCAGCCTCAGCAGGCCTGCAATGGCGACAGCTTCTCAGCACCTGGACACTTCAAATCAAAGCCCACCCAACTGCCTCTTTCACTGTGCCCCGGGGTGTGACCACATCACCGTCAGTACTCCTCCTGTCCAAGGCCTCTCCTGTCTGTCGCTTGGGTTATGGGGGACAGACTTGGGAATTCACTGACCTCGTGCCTGTCTGCAGCTGTTGGAATGGAGCACAGGTGGGGGGCTTGATGGTGGGCCTGAGCAGAGTCGTCCGAGTCGGCCTCCAGGTCCAGGTCCTGGATGGTGAGGAGGCGCTTCTTCTGAACCGGCAGATAAGTCAGCATCAGTTATGTGACGGACAAGCATCCTCCCCCACGTCTATCTAGCTCAGGGCCCACCAGGGTGGGATCCAGGTGAGCTTCTCGGCAGGCCACATCTGCTCACAGCTTTGTTTGGGTTTCTTATGCTAAACCTCTGAGCTTAGGATCCCAGGCTGTGGAGGACAGCCGGTCCTTTGTGCTCAGCTGTAGGTATTAGTGGAGGCCTCAGAAAGAGTCACAACTCAGGAATGTAGGGTCTGTGGTCAGACAGGTGGAGCAGCTGGGCTGGGACTTACTTTGTGGCCACTGGGCTGGGCCTGGGGCACTGTGTCCAGCTCTCCGTCCTCGTCAGTCTGCTCACTGTCTCCATTGCTCTCACCCAGGATCTGCTCAGAGCCGCCTACAACAGGCACCAGGGAGGGTCATCAACAACCTGTTCACCTGTCCGTCCATTCGTCCATCCATCCATCCATCCATCCATCCATCCATCCATCCATCCATCCAGTCATTCATCCACTCATCACCCATCCATCCATCCATCCATCCATCCCATATGCATTTCCATAACCCATATATCTTCCCATACAACCACTCATTCACTAATCTACCCACCAGCCATCTACATCCACTCACCCACCCCTCCCACACACCCAAACACCCATTTTCTATCCATCATCCATCAGTTAACCATCCATCTATACATCAACCATCATCTATCCATATATCATCCACCATTCATGCATCCAGTCTTTCATCTATCCAGCTATTCTTAGCCATCCACCTACTTATCCATCATCCACTTATTCATCCATAATCCATACATTCACCAGTTCATCTATCCACTATCAACTTAGGTCTCATCATCCATCCATCCATCCATCCATCCATCCATCCATCCATCCTCTCATTCATCCATCATCCACTCATTCACCAATTCATCTATTCCTTATCAACTCACCTCTCATCATCCATCCATACTCCATCATCCATTCATCCACTTCCATCATCCACTCATTCATCCATCATCTGTCCATATGTCTATCCATCGTCCATGCATTCATCAATTCATTGAGTACCTGTCAGTCATCTATCCATAATATATCCATCACTTACCATCCATCCATCCACCCATCATTCATTCATTTACCCATCTATTCAGCATTCACCCTTCTATCCGTCATCCATCCATTCTTCCATCATGAGTCCATTCATACATCCAGCCACCCATCATATTTCATCTACCTATCTATTCCACATCCACCCATGATGCATCTACCCATCCATGATGTATCCATCCATCCATCCATCCATCCATCCATCCACTTATCAATTAAATTAATCGGTGGTTCATTCACCTACTTATGCCTCATTCATCCATCCATCACCCATCACCCATCACCTATCCACTCTTCCATCATTCCTCCATCATCCATTCCTCTATACACCCATCTCTCCATCAATCCATCAGTCATTTACCATCCAATCATTCCTCCACCATTCCTCTATCATCCATTCACCAATAACCATTCATCCTTCCACTTATCCATCATCCTGTCCATCATCCTTCCATCCATCCATCCATCCATCCATCCATCCATCTGTCTGGCCATCATTCTTCGATTCATTTCCACATCATCTATCATCTATCCAACCTGCAGGAAACACACAATGTCTTCTGCTGACAAAACCCTTTCTAAGTGTTGGTTAAGATCAGTCCAAATTATGCCATAAAACTTGTAATTTGTATTACTTAAAGTCATGCTGAAAATATCCGAAGAGTTGACATAGAGCCCCTGGTGGAACAGTGTTAACCTGCTCGATTGCAGCCTGAGAGCTTACAGGTTCTAATCTACTCACTGATGCCTTTTGAGGAAGCTCTGATAACCTGCTTCACAAAACCCAGCCACAGGCCAGGATTGACTTAGCAGCGCTTGACATGGGATGGGGGTGTGTTGATGACTAATGGTAGGATGGAAAAACAAAAGTATGTGCAGCTTAAGTGACTTACTGTGGATGTCCGGCGAACTCTGCAGGTTGGCAGGTAAATCTAGAACCGAAGACAAGACACTGAGAACAGAGACATTTCCAGAAGGGCTCTGTGTTCCTGAGGGGTTGGCTTCCTTTCCTGACCAGTCCCCAGGGCTGGGTGGTTGGGTTATGGGTCCAGCCAGCCCCTTCTCCCCAGCTCCTCTCAGGAGGGTCAGCAAAGGCCCTGGTGGCCCACCACTGGATGAGATGGGTTGACCCAGCAGCTGCTCTAGCGGGCTTGTGAGGACAGCGTGTGACTAGGAAGGGTTTTGCTCTGTCGTATGGGGTTCCTATGGGTCAGAACTGACTTATCCACAGCTAACAGCAGCAGCAACAGGCAGAAGGAACCCAGCCCTTGGGCGTCCCTGTCTGTGTGAACTGGGACCCTTGTCAACAGCTAGTGCCGTCTGCTGTCCCACAGCGCCACCTGCCGGGAAATTGAAACCGGCAAGTACAGGGCCCTGTGGATGCCCCAGCTCTGGGCCTGGCTGTGACCTTCCACAAAACACAGTAACCTGCCCAGTTGTCCCCTACCGACCAGATGAGACCAGTCACCCTCAAGCAGACTCACCCCTGGAGACCTCACATGGTCTGAGTAGAGCTGTGCTATAAAGGATTTTCAGTGATTGGTTTTTGAGATCCCCAGTCCATGGGTTCGAGCCTCCAGCAGTCATTTACCATCATGGACTGATTGAGCTTTCTGTTAGAGCCAGGTGCACTCACTCCTCCCACCAGCGAGTTCTCTGGGCCCCACCCCCTTCCCTGGACTCTGCCGGGTGAGTCCTGGCTTGTGTGCTTTTGACAGCCCGTCAAGGGTTCTTCAGTCCACCTGGCTCTCCAGGAGGGGGGACACCTTCCGGGCTGGGGCTGGTTGGCTTGGGGCTCTGCTCTGTCCTCACCCCGGTACTCTGCTGTGGGACTGGGCTGAGCTGTCTGATGAAGGAAAGAGAGGTTGTTTGAAGAGAATCTGGAGGCTGACTTCTGGCTTGCCAGGCATGTGGATAGGGGGATCTGAGGTGGACACACCTCAGCCGAGGACCGAGACTGTGGCCACCAGGGGGAGAGCTGGGCATGGCTTTGCAGTGGGAAGGGAGGCAGGATTCCCCAAGAATAGGGTGACAGCATGTGTCTGGGGCACTGGGCTGGCCCCATGCCATCTGTGGTCTCAGCATCATATAGGATGGGATTAGGGGGAGAGAGAGAGTGTCTGCCATCAGAGCTCTACAGCCATGAGATATCTGTGACCCAGAATCCTCTGCTCTCAGGAGCTACCGTGTGCACCTCAGGACTCTTTTACCAAAACATAAAGCGACCGGGAGAATAGACACCTTTAAATCATGGTGCTGGAGAAGAGCCCTGAATACACGTGTACTGTCCCAGAGCACACAACTCTGTCTTGGAGGAAGTGACGTTAGGGCGCTCCTGGGAACCTCTTCTCACATACTCTGCTGATTGCCGGGGGGACTAGGCCTTGGAAAAGACATCGTAGTGGGAATGGAGGAGGGTCAGAGAAAGGGAGGAAGGTCCTTGGCAGGATGAGTGGACAGACACATGGACTGTAACAACAGCCTTGAGCCTCTCAGAGATGATGAGGAGATGCAGGACCGGTCAACTTGATGGCACCAACAACCCTGAATCCTCTCAGGTGAGGTGGCTCGTGTTACTCTAGTGCCTGTTGCATCCTGCGGGCAAGGTGCTTTCTCTCTGAATGAACTTGCTTGCATGAAAACTTGGTCTCTCACTCTGTCATTCTTGCTAATGGGAGAAAGGACTCTTGGCTTGGAGATTAATTCTTCAATGAGGGCATCCCTTCACACTCAAGCTACGCCCGTGTGGATGTCTGTCCCAGACTCCATCGGAAGCCCCCGGCCTGGGGTCTGGAATCCCCTGTCGGCTCTGTCCCACACTAAGTGACAAGCTGAGATGAACCAGGGGATGTGGACTTGGTGCAGCTATAAAGACAGCCTGGGCCAAGGTCATCAAGAAAATAACACTTGGATCCAACACACAGAACAAAGGCGGCGCTGTGACAGACTTCTCCAGGTCTCCATGATCTCTGGAGGTTTGCATAGTACAGTTAATGAACTTGGCTGCAGTCTGAAAGGCTGGATGTTCTAGTCGACCAGAAGCACCTTGAAAGAAATGCCTGTGGTCTCCTTCCAAGATCTCAGCACCAGGACCCCGTGGGCATGGCCCTCCTCTGAAACGGTGTGCCTGTGTCCCCAAGCTGGGAACACTCAGAATTCAGTGCAACGTTTGCTGAAGCTGGGTATTTCGGGGCAGGCCTGGAGGCTATGCGGCACCGACTGGCACGTGGTGACTGGTGAGGGCCTTGGCTGCACGTCCTCTGTGTTCTGAGACTGATGGTGGGCATGGGGTCACTGTGTGACTTAGATAATGACTAGCAGGGCATCCAACTGCTCGCTCTGCCAGGATGCGATGGCATGTAGTCACCCTCTTTGATGTAAGCAGCCAATCAGCATAAGGATAATAATCTGCAAGCCAATCAGTTTCCTTGAGGGTGTGGCCTGCATATAGAAGGATGTTTTGGCAAAGCTCACTCTCCATTGACTCTGCACCCAATCTGTCATCCTCTGACCTCTGGTGTCTGGGACTATGACCTGTTACCTGTTGCCAGCACATGAGTCAAAAGGACCGGGGCCTGATGGTTTGAGATTTGGAAACCTCCACAGTTGTGTACAAGGGATTTCCCCCTCTCGTTCTCTCTCTCTCTCTCTCCCTCCATTGCCAACACAAAGGCACACAGTTTGGGTCCAGCAGCTGCTCCGAGGGACAAAGATGGGCAGTCTCCACCCGTGTGATTTACAGCCTCTGAAAACTTGCTGGAGGGTCAGCTATGAGGGGTTCTGACTCGATGACACGTAACAACATACTGGGAAACCCATCAATATAACAGGATCTCTGGTGGCTCAGTGGGCCAGGCATTGGGGTGTTAACTGGTCAGCGGTCAGCTTTCGTGAAGACAGCAGCACTGGAAGCCCTTTGGGGAGTTCTCCTGTGTCCTCCCAGGTCGCTGTCAATCAGAAAGGACAGGACAGCTGTGGCTCTGGTTTTAGAAATAACATCTGCTCCTGAGTTTGCTCCTCTGGAGAGCCCACCCTCACGCAGGACTCACAGAGGTCTAACATGGTAGGATCACCCTCACGCAGGACTCAGAGGTCTAACATGGTAGGGTCACCCTCATGCAGGACTCACGGAGGACTCACAGAGGTCTAACATGGTAGGGTCACCCTCACGCAGGACTGACGGAGGCCAGGACTGGCACGCAGAGGTTTGCACCTCTTAATAGGAGCAGCCAACTGGACAAAAGGTCTAGAAGGGGCAGGTGCCCACGGTGCAAGGAGCCTGCTGTTGCACTGGACCAGCTGACAACAGTCATGCTGGGCTGAGTCCGTCCCCCCCCCCCCTTGCTTTACCTCCAGCCTGCAGCCGCCAGGACAGGGACCGGACCACCTTGGCACTCCCAAAGCGCTTGAAACGGGCCCACACGTGCTCATAGTACCACTCCATGGAGCCGACCTTGACGACTCTGTAACAGGGACAGATGGCAGCTGTGACTGGCAGGCAGACACTTCACAGGTGCTGACCATCTTTGGCACATGAATGGGCAGGACAGAGCCTGGGGGCCCTCTGACCAGGGGTGATGCGGCACACAGTCCACAGGAACATCTGACCAGGGACACCCAGCTTAGAGCTCGAGGGAGCCCTCTGATGGAGGAAGGGGAAATGCACCCAGAGCCTGGGTGGGGTGGTGGGGATCCCACAGCAGACAGACCAAAGTGCCATCTGATCAGTACATCCAGCCCAGAGCCTGGGGTCCTCTGACCAGAGGAGGGGGGATGCACCCAGAGTCCTGGGGTAGACCCCTCTCACTGGGGTGACATAGCATCCAGCCTGCAGGACCATCTACCTGGATCACCCAGCCCAGAGCCCACAGGGACCTTCCCCCAAGTGCTCACCGGGCCAGGCGGCAGGGGTCACAGAGCCAGCCCTGGCCCGAGGGGTGAGAGCCCCCACAGGCCCTGCAGGTGAAGAGCTGGCAGTCGAGACACTGTCTCCTGCTGGTGACCAGAAACCGGTAGGGCTGCAGGCAGTGCGCACAGTGGGTCTCCTTCAGGTGGGCCGAGTCCGACAGCAGCTCCCGCTTGGAGCTCTCCTTCTTGACCTTGCCCTTCAGATCCCTGAGGGGACATCCGGACCAGAGATCATGTGTTTGTAGTGGACCACACACACACACACACACACACACACACGGAGAGACACACAAATAGTCAGAGATGCAGACACACACACCCCCGTGTATTCAATGGCGCACAGACTCACAGATGTCCGTGGACACAGAGACAACACAGAGACAAAGATGGCAGTGACACACACACACACACACACACACACACACATCCAGGCTCTCTCACATGCAGCAGTACTGACCTGAAGGTGGACCTGACACCACAGTGGCCCCGCCACTCCCAGTGCCCTCTGTTCTCCACGGCGTGGTGTTCACACAAGAGAATGTGACCCATGGAAATGACACTGTTGACACCTCTCATCTGTACTGACCCATCTTGATGACCTCCACGCACTGCTGAAGGGCCATGAAGCCTGAGGACTCAGCATGGGGTGGACGGTGTCCAGAGCCCAGTCGGTCTCACACAGACCACATACAGAGGCTGGAGATGGGGCAGGCTGACCCCAAGTCCATGCTCTCGTCCCAACTCTGGCCCTGGGCCTGCTCGAGAGTGCATTTCCGGAAGAGTGTGGTCCACAGTGCCAGTACCCAGTTCCCTCTCCCTTGGCCTAGTGGGTATGGGATTTGGGAACCCAGAGGTCCTGGGGTGCAGTCTGGTCTGGCCACATGGTTCTCTGTTGCCCAATTTACTGGGCTAAAGGAGATTAGAAAAGTACAAATCCAGACTGGGTTTGGGGGGCTAGAGTTAGGGGGGTCAGGGGAGCAGAGGGAACACAGGGAAGAAGGGGTGAGGTCAGAAGATGAGGGGTCTGTGCCCACTGATGGTTCAGCCAGTCACATCTACTCTGCCTGGTCTTGAGTTAACCATGATGCCAGGCTGGCATCTGCAACTAACTGAATTGTGTTCCTCATAAATACACGCTCATAGTGATATGAGGTGGAAGCAATACTCCCTCATGATCTGATAAATCCAAAGGTTGTAGGTGGATTAAGGGGGGATGCAGCATCCCTAAGTCACGTCACAGCCCTGACCCTGTGGAGTGGGAGCTCCCCTGGGCTGTGGCCTTGACTCCTTTTGTCTCAAGGGAGATAAAAGGGAAGGAAAGAGAGCCCTCAGAGAAATCATCACTATTGCCAAGAAATAGTCACCAGGAGTGGAGTGTGTAGACACAGGACCCTTTACTAGAAAGCTCCTTGGCACCAGGAAAGCCGGGCACATGGTCTATGGACAACAGGGGCCTGTGGACAACAGGGCCTACAGATACCATGGCCTACAGACAACAGGGGCCTACAGACAACACAACCAATGTACAACAGGGGCCTTCAGACAACAGGAGCCTACAGACATCAGGGGCCTACGGACAACACAGTCTACAGGCAACAGGGCCTACAGGCAACAGGGGCCTAACAGAAGGTGAAGGAGGCTAGGACTTTCCTCCAGACCTGACATAGAGCAAGCCTTCCCCTAATTTGACACCCTGAATTTGGACTTCTGGATTCCTATAGGTGGAGGGACAGGGAAGGAGAGGAAGAGCCTCAGAAAGATGGACTGACACAGTGACTCCAACAGTGGGTTCCAGGGTGTCACGAGGGTGAGGACGGCACAGGTTAGGACAGGGTTCCGATCTGCTGTTCCCAGGGTTGCTGTGAGACATACTCAACTCAATGGCACTTAACAATGACAACAACAAGCCTCCAAGCCGTGAGAGATTGTGTTTCTTTTTGTTAACAACATATGTTGTTGCTATTGTACACTGTTAAGTCAGAACTGACCCACAGCTGACCTTAGCTATATTTTCAGAGGCAGTAAATTGCACAGGAGGAACAGCCATCCGAGAGATCGAGTGCTTAAAAACTGTGATGTTCAACCTGGTCACGACACCTCCCTCGAAGGTGAAGGTGTAAGTGCTCTGCTGCTAACCATCAGACTGGTTGGTGGTTCGAGTTCACCCAGAAGCACCATGGGAAAAGGTATGGTGACCTGCTGTCACAATGCCAGCCGATGTTACATTCAGACAATGCTACATTCACACAATGTTACATTCACACAATGGAATACCACACAGCACTGAAAAGTGATGACCTCGTAAAGCACTGCACAGCGTGGATGAGTCTGGAAGACATCATGCTGAGTGAAATATCTCAGTCACAAAGGGACAAACAGTGCACAAGCTCATCACTGTACTCACAGGATTTAAATGAGGAAGGAGGGAAGGCAAGGAAAAAAAGGGCTGATAATGAAGACTGCACTGGAATGAGTGAGAGGAGGGATGTTCTGAAAGGATGGACGTTAGAAAGCACGTGTGTGACAATTAAGAAAAAGTCTTATAAGGGGAACTGAGGAGGGAGCATAGTGTGAACAAACGAACAAAGAAAAAATAATTGGGAAAACCCCTCAGCTTTATTTAAAATTCCCCCCCAAACCAAAACACCAAGCCATCGGTCACCCTCTGGAGTTGACTCAATGGTACTAGAGGGCGACTCCCAAGCCACGCTGGGCCTTTTTCAGCAGGGGCATCTGTACTGAACCCCAGGTATGCCCCAGCAGAGCAGCACTGGAACGGTTTGGCTTGGAGGGTTCCCGGAGCAGGAGTCACCCAGCACCCAGGAGAGCCGGAAATCCCAGCTCTCCCAGACCAGCGTGTTCAAGGGCTGGCTTCCTAGGGAACATACCAAGTGGAGCCGCCATGGAGTGGCCCCCACAAAGTCAACACCCTCCTTCTGTCCTGGGCTTCAGAGAACGACTACCAGACACGGCTCTGTCGTTGTGTGCCATCGAGTCAGAACCGGCCCACAGCTGACCCTCCAGCGGGTTTTCACAGGCAGTAAGTCACGTGGGAGATTGCCCACGCTTCTCTCCAGCAGAGCACCTGGTGGACTCAAGCCACGTGCCTTTGGGATTACAGCACAACTTCTTACCAGTGGACCACGTGTGATGAGATAAACCTGCTCATCTGACCATGGTAGGTTTTGTTGTTAAAGTTACATACTTGGGACACAATGTCAGGAGGGACTAGTCCTTGAAGAAGGACATCATGCTTGGAAGGGTGGAAGGACAGCACAGGAGAGGAAGACCCTGGATGAGATTGATTGACTCAGTGACTGCGGCAGTGGGGTCAGGTGTGTCAGAGACGGTGAGGTTGGCTCGGGACAGGGCAGGGTTCAGAGCCAATGTTCATAGGGGCACTATGAGCTGTAGCTGAGGCCAGGTGTGATGAAAAGAGCCTGGTCTTTCTGACCAATGGTAGGGGAGAGCCCTGAAAGCCCCTCTTTGTGGTTCCAGACAAAAATGTTCATGGCACCTGGGATGAGCGTGGGTGGAAGCCACATGGGGATTCTCAGGGACTTGTGGCTCCAGGGGGCACTGGCCGCCCTCACTGACCTCTTCTCACTTTTCACAAAGACCCACAAAGCCTGGAACACTGAGAGGGCTCGAGGCACAGCCTCAGAAAGAAAACAACAGGGGCCAGCTGGGTTTCAGAATCTAGGTCAAGGCCAACAGTGCCACAGAAAACAAACACAGGTAAGAGAAAGGGGGCTCTGGTGGGCAGAATGGCACACCCCACTCTCCTGCTGTGTCCTCAGGGGGCCTGGATGAAGGGCATGGGCATGTGTTTGAGCCCAGAACTGAAGGAGACTCCCTCCCAAAGAAAGAGTATTTTCACTTAAAAGAGCAGCTGAGAGAGAAGTGATTCTGATGCGGGTGTTTGGGGATCTCTTCTGCAGGTGAAGACAGTGTGTCACATGAAGGAAAGGTGTGACCGGAGTGACTGTGAGGACCCAGCTCAGGGCTGCAAGTACCAGGTCAAAATTGGGAGCATGTACATGGCCATCCTGTCCCGCAGTCCCCCGACTTCCTAACATGACAGGCTTCTGTTGGGATGCGTGGTGATATCAGCACATGTGGCAGTTTATTATGGGAAATGAAACGTGTCAACATTTATAAAGCACTCACCTAACGACACGAGTTGGCACGATCTTCACCACAGCAGGTTTGGAGCTGTCTGTCTGTGGTGCCGACTGCCCAGCAAACAGTGCTTCCAGCCCCTTCCTTTCTGGCCAGCCTGACCGAGGATCACTAAGCCCCATTCTCTGAAATTCCGGGCTGTTTGCAGAGCTGACGCATCCACGCGGCCACCTGTTTGCCCCCTGGCTCACGTCAGCAGTACTAATATTTGGTTTGTGGGCTGTTCCTTTAAGGCAGGGCGTTCTGTTTGGGAAGACTCAGCCTTTACCCAAGGGGTGGTTCAGCGGAGCCTGTGGCACCATCACCCCATTCACGCCCAGCTTCAGGGAGACTCATGCTTCACGGCACAGCCGCCTTTGTGAGGCAATCCTGACGCTCAGGAACCAGTTACCAAAAACACTTTAAATAAGCAATAGGTATAAACAAACCATAGATAGCCGGAGGGCCCTGGTGGCACAGAGGCTGAGCCGCGGGTGCTGTGGCCGTCTGTGCTGGAGCTCATGAGCTGTTCCTCAGGATAAAGGCGAGGCAGTCTGCTCCTTAGAGATCGTTGTTGTTGTTGTTGTTGTGTACCAGCAAGGCGGAGCTGACCCGTAGCTATTCCCCTGACAGGTTTTCAGATGCAGTGAATTGTTCAGGAGTTGGCCTGTCTTTCTCCTGCAGAGCAGCTTGTGGATTCAAACCACATACCTTGGGGATTACATAATAGCTTCTTACTGCTAGGCTAGGTGAGCTCCCTTCATTAAAGATTGTTGTTATGTGTTGTTGTCGACTGTGGTCCATAGTGACCCTGTGCACAACGGCCCTAAACCCTGCTCTGTCCTAATCTCACTGTCTCTAACACACCTGCCCCCACTACCCCAGATACTGTGTCGATCCATCTCACCCGGCTCTTTCTCTCCTGGAGGGAGGTGTCTGGGGCTGTGCAGACAGCTTGGGTGCATGGTGACCCTGTGAATTCTTGAAACCCTGCTCGTCCTGCATCATCTCACCGGCTCTGCTGGGCTGAAGGTCACTGTGCAAAC